AGCTTATGGGAATAATAAGATAAGAAAAAAAATTGAAACAAGTTTCTTTAAAAGTTAAAATTAACTTATGCATGATCTAACTTAAAGAAATTCCCTCATATTAGCATCTCCAAAATATGTATTTCAACTTATGCATAAACTAATGTTAATTTATGAAAAAAATTATTTCAATTTTTCTTTTTATATTTTTCCTATTAGTATTTATGGAAAACTTTATCTAAATAGACCCTAAAATATTAATTCAAGTTTATCGTAGTAGCATTTATTAAGCACACATCTTAATTAAAATTAATTTTGTATAGGTGGAGCTTCAAAAGGACATCATATTTTGTTGAAATGGTTAGTTTTGAACTACATTAGATCCTCAAATTACATAGCTTAATAAATTGGCCTCTTCATTAGCTTGCCACTACATTATGTTCATAGGAATGAAGTGATTGTTAGCATGGTCCTGAATGCTAATGCAAGCTATGTTTTGAGTCATTCAGAAATAGATGTGTCAATAACTTACAACTAGCTGGCGAGAGTAGTCTCTAAGAAGGACAGATGCAAAAGCTTTAGCAGTATAATCTGAGCTAGTTGAATAAAAATCAGGCATAAAGTAATTATTGAGGTAATCATTGCTTCCCATCCCTGAAAAGAATAAACATCTGTTGAGGTAGCTATTAAGTGAGTCATTGTTTCCTCTGAAGAACCTTCTCAACTCCTGCACTGTGTTGGCAAAGTTAGCCACTTGCTGATTCAATGATGTATGACCCCCCTGCATACAAATTTCAAAAGAAAATCAGAGGTATGTGCCTAATAGAAAGATATGTACAACTACGAGATGTGCTTTCTCAAAAGAACTATTGAATATATAGCATTGCATACAACTCACAAGGTTATTGCCTGTTTCATCTCTAATGCCTGCTGCTCCAGATGCATAATTAGCTCCTCTTAATAGATCCAAACCCCTTGCTCTTGAGTATGGAGGAATATATGTTCGGAAACCCAGAAGCTGAGCTGCAATTATCAACATTCTAGTCCTAAGTAACCATAGCTACTCTACTCTCATTGTTAAGAAAAACTCAGCATATGTTATGGCTATATTATTGCAGTTAGCTACAAAATAAATCCAAATGCTTACACATGAGACAAGTATGGAACATTTTCTTTGTACCACCACTAAAATTCCCAAATTCTAGACTTTTAAGCTATGTAACATCAAGACATTTAATATTATATTAGATGAATAACAACATAGTGCTATTCTATTTGATGATTAAATACTGGCCAAGGACTCATTATTCATCACTAGCTGAAGTATGCATTGAAGGTCGTGTATAAACGATTAAAGTAAATTAGACTGACACCTCGTGATTTCTAGAGAATACACACTATATCCTTGTCTTATTTATAGTAAACTCTTTTACAAGAGTAAATGGTGTAATGTGTTTCTTTTATAGTAAACTTGAGTAACAAACGTATCAGTGTAATGTATTTCAAACAATTAAGAACGGTTACCTAAGGCATCAACATAAGTTCGACCGTTGGTGAAGCGGCCAGTGGCACCACCTGGGAAGTCTATGCCATAAGGCCTGTAGTTGGCCCTGGCAAGGGTTAGGATCCCATTGTTGTTTCCATTGTCAACCAAAGAGTCACCAAATATGAAGAAGCATGGAACCTGTTGCCCCAGTGGTGGCCGTGGCTGCACCTGAGAGAAACATCTGCCACTTAGGCTCAGCCAGAAGATCCATGTGAATGTCAAAACCAAAACCATTTCTCTCAAATGCTTCATCTTATGAATGACTTGGGACACAAATGGCCCTATAAGCATTCTTATATATATTCTCCTACTCAGCCTTGGTATATTTATGACATTCATGTGATACGTCTAATCTAGGCCTATTTGATAATTGGTTGGGTGACTGAGATAATGAGGGAAGAAGCTTTTTGGTAAAGTATTTATGGGTTTTATCTCATATAGTATGACACTTTCTTTACGATCGGTGATTGGAAGCTCCATCTCGTGACATCCTTGTTGGAACATACTAGACACCTTTAAATTACAGAAATAATGCATGAGTTACAGTTACCAACCAAGTTGTGTATACGTATTTTTGGCAACTTAATAATGAAGTAGTTGCAAGTTGCAACATGTGGGTTGCTTCAGCCTTAATTCTTGTTTCAAGTTAAATTTTATTTTTTTTAGAGTAAATATACAACTTAGTATAAAAAAAAGGGTAACATACATGTTTTGGTTTGGTCTATGAAAGGTTATGTGTATACAATTGTCTCCAACTCTCAACTTCATGACAAATTAGTCTTTCCAATATGACATTAATTAACCAAATGTAGAGACGAAAATTTTCATGGCGGATTTGATAAATATAGGCCTTTTATAAAGTCGTTTCACAACAAAGGCTAATTTTTCTATTATACGTAAGAATTTCAATGGCATCAACATGAATTTATGATCTAATATAACTATCCAAAATTTTTCCTGTTAAGTTAACTTTAGTAGTTACAACAAAGATTAATTTATTATAAAGTAAACTGACTTTTTTTATTAATAAAAAAGAATAATAATTTAAATCTTATTATTAAGTTGACACCAATGATTCAATGTAACCTAATTTGAAATTAAGTTATATATACACAATTTCAAGGATTAAATTAACACACGTTATCTCTTTTAGAAACAAAAATATATTTTACTATTTTCTAATAGTAGTCATGCTAGTTGTCAATTTTACTTCAATACTATGCATATTTTTGTTGTAAATTGACATAATTTCATTTTCTTTTTCTTTAGAAATCGTTCAAGATAACACATTTTTTCAATACATTTATACTTATTCTATTTTGATCCAATCCATTATAATTATCACTTTTGATTACTTATGGTGAGGGTTGTTTTGTAGGTCAAATAGAGAAAAAAAGTAGATAAAGAAAGAAGATAATTGGAGACTTGAGAAAATTTGAAAGAAATAAAATGAAAATGAAATAGTCAACAAGCATTGAAACAAAAGCTTAAGTGAATTTAAAAAATGAAAAATAAAGTCTCTGCCTCAAATTCGTTCTCTTTTTTTACATTTCAAATAGCAAAAAAGAAATTATATGTCTATATCTAGCCACCCCCCCCAACCCCCCCAAAGTAAGGCTTTCATAAAAAGAAAGATGGTTAAGTTTTTACTCACTACTAGAAATATGTTTTTTTTTTTTTTTCGGATTTTGCTAAATTTTTCACGAAATATTTGCGATTCTTTTTACAAATTAAATATTATATGAAATTTTTGTGAAAATTTTTACAAATTAAAAATTACAGGAGATTCTTGTCAAAATTTTTGCAAAAATAAATTTACAAAAAATATCTACAAATTTTATTGCAACCACATTTAATATAAATAGTAATTTTTGCAGATAAAAAATTCTAAAAAAAATTGTAAATTTTTTTTTCCTATAAATTTTGTTTTGTTGCAAATATAATTAATAAATAATATTTGGATGAATTATAGGAAAAGTCGTAAGAAATTTTTCCTACAAATTTTCCTGCTCATTGAAATTTTTTAATAAATTAATAATAAAAATTTTAATTAAAGAATAGTTTTTTAAATATATATTAAGTATAATTTATATTAATTTAAATTTGTTCAGGTTTCGCACTTCCTCTCTCTCGTTACCTCTTCCACCGATCACTTTTGCACACTTTCTCTCTCGATTCGCACTTCCTCTCTCTCTCGTTACCTCTTTCACCGAGCTTTCCTAATGCTGCACTTCCACTCCCTACCCTAACAGGGACGGACATCCTTGTCACGAACTCCAGGAAGCGGGAAGGTACGAGCTCCTCATTACTTCTTATTCGACTTCCAGGAGGAAGAAGCAAGAGTCAGGTGCGACATTTAGGTTTCCTCTCATAGTTGTTCAATAATCAATAATCAGAGAAGATCTTATTAATAGATTAGTCTGATAATACACTAGTCAGATTTTTTTCTCTATCTCATACTGTCTTGTTTCTTTTCTCTACTTTTTCTTCCTTTTATAACACGTTTTTTTTTTTTTTTAAATTACTCTTTCAATTATATAATAAGTGTCACTTTAGGTTTAATAAATGAATTAAAAAGAATTAATATTTTATAAAATTAACTTTGTGATGAATAATTAAAATTTTATTAAAAAAATCCTTCAAACACAACATTTTAATGAGACAAAGAAGTGAACTTACCAATTTAATAAAATGTCTTCCAAATATATTTTTTAATAAGTTGTATAAGTATTAAGTGCATGTATTGAATAATTTCTCACGATGATACATCCAAGTCGAAAAATCTCTCTTTCATTTTGTCATATTAAAGTGGAAATATTTTAAGTAATTAAAAGAGGGAGACCAAGAAAATGAGGGTCAATAATTTGAAATTAAAGAAAGCATTTATATATAAACAAAATTTAGATATAATACCCTAAACATTATTAATATTATTCTCTAATCAAAATTAAAATTTTTATGTAATAATATGTGTAATTAAATGTATATTATTAAAGTAAAACTTTAATCCTAATAAGAGAAATACCTTTAACAATATTTATGATAGTATGCCTACTATTTGTTTTTTAGGTATTATTAAAATTATTCTTCCATAAAATTAAAGTTTTAATTCAGTAATATTACTGAATGTTTCATGGAATTTTGATATGCATATTACTCGCACAAAACTTGATTCAAATTGCATAACAACACTCATATTATTAGCTTAGTTTTGTACGTCCTTACTAATTAATGATCCGTTAAATGCAGCAATATCTCGTTTGACTTTTTCTTCTGCAATGCATATACGAACGAGTACATGACAAGCATGCTAAGTGAAGTGGCTACATACATAATCCCAACGTCCCCATGCCACAGACACGGTCACGAAAAAATATAATGAGAGAGGGTGCGTGTTTGTGTGTGGAAAAATTATTCAGTATGTATAATTACTGCTAGGTAGAGAACAGGTGAATGTATTGATTGCATTTCAACCACCGCATATTCCATCTTCTATTAAACCCTCTTCCCTCTCCTTCCAAAACCATGTGTAAACTTTTTATTTTCTTTGCTCCATCCATATTATAATATTAATAAAACAACAAGTTTTTTGCTTACTACTTCGATGGCTAAGTTTGGATTATCTCCATTCTTGGTGGTTTTGATGTTGCTGAGTGGTGGTGCAGTGAAAGGCCAAAATGGGAGTGGGAGAGAAATGGTGCCTGCCATGTTCATATTTGGTGACTCTCTCATTGACAATGGCAACAACAACAACATTCCTTCCTTTGCTAAGGCCAACTATTACCCTTATGGCATCGACTTCAATGGTGGCCCTACTGGTCGCTTCTCAAATGGCTACAAATTGATAACACATGATAGCACTGTAAAAAAGCCACTACAGAAGTTCAATTTGTGTGTTTGATTCCCCGAATATTGTTAGCAAGGGGACCGACTTCTGTCGTATTGCAATTTACAGTTTAGGAGGTTTGTAACGTGGTGCTTCCTGGATTTTGGGCTTTTTGGGCCTGATTTTCTTGAGCTATTGTTCTGTTCACCACAAACAAAATATAAAATTATTTACTAATCTTTTGAGGAATACTTGTATGATTTGTAGCTGTACTCTTTTTATTTATTTATTTTATGATAAATTTGTAGCTGCACTCTAATCTAAGCAAAATCCCAATGTCACATAGCACTCATCAATATCCTCATCATAGTCAGAGCAAGAAAAATAATTACTGTAGATAAGCTCTATGTCAGATTTTAAAAACATCTACCACGATTAGGCTTGTGGCGCAGCATGAAAGTGAGCACGTTCAAACATTTTTAATAAAAGAATTAAAAATAAAAAAAATGATTATTTCATAAAATAGTTAATTTATAAAAATGTTATTATTAAAGAATTTTTTTTCCAAAATAATAATTTCTTAAAAATACTTCCGTTCAATATTAATATTCTTTTACACAAAAAGTGACACGCATACAACCATGGACACGTACACACAGTGAGAAACACAGACGCGCGCACAAAAAACAGAATAACAAGTAATAGTAATTTTAGAAACCAAATTAATTAAGAAAATATTAAAGTAGTGAGCTAATTTTAGCCATGATAATAAGGTGTGAGAGTAAAAGTAAAATTGATGTGGATATAATAGAGAGAGAACAAAAAAGAGGCGGTGATATGAATGGGAGTTTGTCTTGTTTGTCATTATGAGAGGGTGAAATTGTTTGGCCTACAAAGATTGATATGCATAGGATAAAATGTTTGCTCCCCTTATTTGAGTGCACAGGAGTACTAAATATCCATTAAAATATAGAAATATTTGAACCACGTAAAAGTACTACTCCTGTAGAGAAAACTAGCACCTCCCGTTGATCTGTTTATATTTCACACCATTATCTTTATATGTTTTCACGAGTAGTAAGTAATATTGTAAGCGATGCTTCAATTTTCATTATATTTTTTTTGCAGGATTAGGGTGAGGATTGAGTCCTAGCACTGTGCATTCCTTTAACGTCGGGTTCTTGAATCAGACTCTTGGTAATTTTCCATGAAAGTTTACATGATGAAACTTGGAAATGATTTGTTGTGTCCTCTACTCATTATGGAACATACTGATGCTCATTTTAAAGTCTGTTAAATGTTAAAGGCTCATTGTGAATGTGTATGTTGATTCATTTGGTTATTGTTGTTCTGATAAGACTAAGAGTTTGATTATCTTGTTACAGGAGTAATAGCTAATTTGCTATTAGTGCAAGAAGTTTATTTATTTTTCTTTTGCTTTCTTTTGATGATGGTTGTACTCTAGTATTGTCTTTTGGTATGGTTTGTGATATTGTTGTATTTTGAAGGCCCTTTTTTTTATGTTATCCTTTTTTCTTAGTGTTTCACTGGTTCTTATGTTTGTACACTCTAGAATTATCATATGATTGACTCATCCAATGAGTTTATATATTTATTTTTTCGACCAAAAAAAAGAGAGTAGTATAATACTGTTTTTGCGAGCTAATTTGATTTTTAACTTTAGAACAAAGTTCCGTATTATTGGGCATATAGAGCAAAGTTCCGTATTATTGGGCATATACATCCTGTACGGAAGAGTCCTTACTGTTGGGATGGATCACATAGAAGCAAGTTGATAAAAACGCTTGAGCTTAAGACAGTGGGCCAATTATTTTATGAGTTAAGTTGCTGTTCCTCTTCAATGGTTTACAACTTCAATAAATTCATCCTTACATTATTAAGGCACGTACAAGTGGTTATTAGATATTGACAATAATAGGCTTTTTGACCAAAGTGGGGTCGTTGACCAACTTATTTACGTAAATGGGGCTCTTTTGAAAGTATTTACGCCTTTGGAGCTGTTTACAACGGTGTCGCTATGGCCCATAGCGACACCCATGCCACGTGGAATTTTTAAACTCCAGAGAAGCCATGAAAGCCATATTGATAATGTCGCTATAGCCCATAGCGACACAAAACAGCTTCAATGAAGTCGCTATAGCTTACGGCGCCCCATTTTTAATATTAAAAAAATATATAAAAAAATAAGTAAATAGGTTTTTGAAAAAAATACGAATTTGTAAAAGTGGCGCTATGGCAATAGGTTCCTATTTCCAAAATGATTAAAATATGATATGTAGATTGTATCATAATTGGATCTGTTTTGAGCAGGTTGGGCGCATACCATTTGATCAGCAAATTAGGAACTTTGAGAACACATTAAATCAACTTGCTGGGAATCTTGGAGCAGCGAATATGGCCACAGCGCTTGCACGGTGCATATTCTTTGTTGGAATGGGAAGCAATGACTACCTAAACAACTACCTTATGCCTAATTATCCCACTAGAAATCAGTACAATGGACCACAATATGCTGATCTCTTGGTTCAAACATATAACCAGCAGCTCACAGTAAGATTTCTTTGTTTTCCAGACTGAGTTTTTATTTCATCTTCATTCTTTTCATTGTAATCTTTCTCATTGATAAAAAATAAAATTCGACTCCTTGGTTTCTGTCAATTATCCTTGTCATAAGATGCGTAATGCTTTTGTGTATCATCATCCAAAGATCCTTCTTAGGATTTGTTAACATGTTGATTTAAAGAAACTAATGTTTGAGGTTTTTAATAGTAAAGAAAGCATCATTTTCCAAGACACAAATTTGTGAAGGTTGAATTTTAAGGAAAAATTAATGGTTCATGATGTGTTACAGAGGCTTTACAATCTTGGAGCAAGGAAATTTGTGATTGCTGGACTGGGGCTAATGGGATGTATTCCAAGCATATTGGCTCAAAGCACGAGTGGAAGCTGTTCTGAAGAAGTGAACTTGTTAGTGCAACCCTTTAATGAAAATGTGAAGAACATGTTGAACAATTTCAATAGTAATCTACCTGGTGCCAGATTCATATTCGCTGATACTGTCCACATGTTCCAGGACATCCTTCTCAATGCTAGATCTTATGGTATGAATCAAAAGATACTATTGCATAGCCACCTCAAAATAACACAAATCAAACATGGATAAAACTTGGATGGTATTCTCAATCTTCTCAAATTAGAATTAAAATTTTATCTTAATAACACACATAATAAAATATTTTATTAAATGTCAATATGTATTATTAAAATAAAACTTCAATTTTAAATAAAAAATAAGACATTGTATCCAAGTTTTCTTCTAAAACATGATTTTACATTATTTTGCTCTTATGGTTTAGCACCTTGCAATGCACATTTTCAACATGTATTTGATGATGAAACTGATGGTTTAGTTTTTTTAAGTGTAGGATTTACTGTTATAAATAGAGGGTGCTGTGGCATTGGAAGAAACAGAGGCCAAATTACATGTCTCCCATTCCAAACACCATGCCCTAACAGAAATCAGTATGTGTTCTGGGATGCATTCCACCCAACAGAAGCAGTGAACATTCTCATGGGAAGAATGGCGTTTAATGGGAACCACAATTTTGTTTATCCTATAAACATAAAGCAACTAGCTGAGCTATGAATTGAGCCAGCTAAGTGGGAATATTGTTCTATCAGTGTCACTTATATAGCTAGAATGAACTAAAAGTATGTGGAGCAACAATTTTAGTGTAGGGTACATCCAAGTCGAAAA